TTTTGCTCTAACTTCGGTGTGCCTTTATCATCAACACCGTACGCCCCAAAACGACTACTTGCGACCCTGCTTGATGGTTTCACGCATAGCAAAAGGCTATACGTGGACACTTATGCATCAGACATAAGCATCGAAAACCGAACCAAGAAGCAAGGAAAAAAAAAGAACAAAAATGGGGTGAGAGAGGAGAAGACAATCCACCTAACACGATTCCGAAAAGGAGGTGGGTTGTTTCTCAATATCAAAGAAAATCAGAATGCATGTCAAAGCAGTTAAACCTCTCACAACGTGGTGCAGGGGTGTGAAGTGATGTAGCATCTGATATAATGTAGGAGGCGGAGTGGGTGAAGTGGTGAAGTGTAGTGGTGAAGCGATGAAGTTAAAATAGTAATGAGAAGTCGAGATATATATGAGAAAGCCAAAGTAAAAAAAAAGAACAAAGAAGCAACATGCCCAGGTAAGTAAAAAAAAAAAAGGGGGAGAAAACCCAATCGAGAAAAATCGGGCAGCATAACAACACAAAAATGAATTTTTCACACCTGCAATTTACACAACTATGAAAGTACACAAGCATATGAATGACAACATCCAGTATTTCCATCAATCCCAAGCATATATGTAGCATAGATAAAGAGACGAGTGAAGAAATTGTGTAAGATGGGAATATGAGCAATGTGAGCCAACTTCTACAAGTGTACAAGCGCAAATTTCATACTCAAGCAGGTATAAACATGATGTAACTTCACAAGTGCAAAAAATATTTGTTTTGGCAAGTATAGATTGATAGACACCTCTTTTGTGCATGAGAAGGGGTGGAGAGTGTGCAAAAAATAAAGCTTAGGTGTTATGCATATGAATGACATATAACATTTTTCATGAGTGTTTCAAGTAGAGTCATTCCCAAATCCGAAAATTCCATATGAAGGCTTTCAAACAAAGCCACACATAAAGCGTTAGCTTGCACATAAGCCTCCAAAAAAAAATCCAAATATGAGACATATAACTTGCACATGAGAAAAGCTTCAAAAAGCCATGTGCAAGGCCAACCCTTGGCCTACCAAAATATTTTAAAAGCTAAAAGGAAATCTCATATTTTCACATGTAAGGGAAGACTCCCAATGCCATGAATAAATCCCAATACTTTAGCACATGAAAGGTATTCCAAATGTCATGAACACACTTCACATTTTGACATAGAAAGAGGACTTCATAAGCTATACAGATCTTTTTTTTTTT